ACCACAGATGACTTCCTTCGCTGCCAGTTGCCAGTGTTTAGTTGGCTTTCAGCTAGTTTGCCGTTTTGTATTCTCTGCCGAATGTCAATCCTTTGATGCTACGCTAATTAAGTTAGAGACTCGTTGCTATCTAAAAGTTTAGGGGCACAAGCCAGCCACCGTCAGCGTTTGTGTGCCGTTAAATTTTCACAAGCCGTAAAAAATGTGGAAAACCATTTTTTATAAATTTATAATTAAGTGTTCGTTTCGATGGGCTGTGGTTACGGTTATAGTTATTAAGAGTAACTGCTGCTAGAGGTATTCGTAGATTTTTTTCCTCTGCAGAATATTATGCCGGTATAAATGTCACAACATATAATGATGATAAAAGTACAGACATATATGTGTCGACAAACACAAATATCCATACGCTTAATTCGTATGAATTTTTTATGAGTATGCCAAAGTACTATGTGACTGAATTTGTGTGTGTGTGTGTCTGTGAGTATATGAGTATGTCTACCTCGATCTACCTTTGAACTAAAATCATAAAGGTATGCACCGTTATGTATTGTTCAACTTATACAACAGAACAGACAACCAAACATCTACTACACACACACACGCACATTCATACCCACTCGAACACGGTCATCTTTATGTTAAATATATATACACACACATTTAAGTGTTGTTAAAGGAATAACGAAAGACATCTGTCGCATAAAGAGTGGTGCTTCAGTCATACACATCTCATAACATATGTCTGGTGTAGGATGGTATTTAAGATAGCAGATGCGATATAGATTAAAGCGAAATAAGTTGAAGCCATTTAAACCGAGTATGGTGGAATCAGAGAAATTATTCGTAAGTAAATGCATCAATGAGAAACAAATGAATCAGAATTGTAAATTTTATAAGATGTAAGAACGAAATTGAAAATTTTACCACAAGAATACCTTCTTTAGCACTTGATATAGGCTTGGCTCATTTTTATACCCTTCCTCACACTGTGGTACAGGGTATTATATCTTTGTGCATATGTTTGTAGCAGGCAATAATAATCGAAATAGACCCATAGTTCCTTTTGAGAATATGCATAGAATTACTTTCTGAGTCGATTTATGCATGTCCGTTCGTCTGTCCATCTCTATATGTTAAATTGTAAACAAAGTACAGGTCGCATTTATGATCCGAATTGGATAAAATTGGCACAGCTCATTTGTTTGGCCCAAGGACGAACCCTATTGAAATTGGGAAAAATCGGTTCAGATTTAGATATAGATCCCATATATATTTTCGTCCGATTTAAGGTAAATTGTGTACCAAATTCCCTATATATCTTTTGATTTGCACGAAATTTGGCACAGCGTAATGGAGAAGGTCTAAAATGATGTGTGTAAAGTTTCGTGAAAATCGGTTCATATTTAGATACAGCTCCCATACATAGTTTCGCCCGATTTTAGGTAAAAAGACTACAAAAGTCTCTGAAAATCATTCGATGTACACGAAATTTGTCATAGCGTACTGAATTAAGTCTAGTATGACTTGTGGCAAGTTTCGTGAAAATCGGTTCAGATTTAGATATAGCTCCCATATATATCTTCGTCCGATTTTATGTAATTGGTGCACCAAAGTCCCTATATATCTTTCGATTTGGACGAATTTTGGTATATGATACTGAATTATGTTGCTAAGAATGTTGTTGCTAAGCTTCGTGAAAAGATCCATAGCTAGGCCGATTGACACAATGTACTGAAGTAATCTAAATTAGTCTCTGGCAAGTTTCCCTAAAATCGGTTCAGATATAGATATATAACAAAAACGCGACGTCTGTTAGGATTCATCTGTTGAATGTACCCAAAATGGTGAAGTGTATCATAGTCAGCTTAGCCCGACTATACTACTTTCCTTACTGGTTTTCGAATCAAAGTGTATATACCCTCATTAGCCATAAGGATGAGGGTATAAACATCTGGAAGAAAATATATATGGGAGACATATCTATATCTGAAATATATGGGATTTAAAGCAAATTGTATATACGTTAATCCAGACTTATTTTGATGCGATGTGCATTAAGTATCAGGTATTATCTGTTAGCCTTTTACATCTTTAAAACGGTTTAACAGAAATTTAATACACCTCATTGCAGGCTCACTAAGCCACCCCGTGAAAAATGTCATTGCTATCGGATAATTTTTGATAACATAGTGCCTTACTTACTTAGGTGGCTTGTTGCAGAAAGTTGTTTCATAAACCGAGCTTAAAAAAAGAATTCTAAGCGCGTCGGTCTTATGCCCATCACCTCCAATTTGAAAGTCTATGCTCCGAGATGTTGTCGTCTACTTGGTCTTTCCATCTAATTTGTAGCCTTCCCCTTCTGCGTGAACCATCAGTAGACTCGCTTTTATATGCCTTTTGAGCTGGGACATCTTTATCCACTCCCACAACATGGCCTAGTCAACGTAGTCGCTGCAGCTCAATACGACTGACTATGTCGATTTCCGCATATACATTGTAAAGCTCGTGGTTCATTCGACGCCGATATTCACCGTCGACGCAGATCGGCCCGTAGGTCTTTCGGAGAATTTTTCTCTCAAAAGCTCCAAGGGCTGCTTATCTGCTTGCGCAAGTACCCATGCTTCAGATCCATATAACAGCACGGGTAGTATCAGCGTTTTGTAAAGTGTGAGTTTGTTCTGGCGGAAGGTGGCCTTGTTTCTAAACTGCTTACTTAGACCATAGTAGCATCTGTTGGTCATCACTATCCTTCTCCGAATTTCAAAACTAATGTCATTAGTTTTATTTATGGTGAAACCAAGGTATATAAAATCTTATCCTACATCCAAGCTGTAGGTTGGTTCGAGTCTACTGGACATCTTGCGCATCGATACCATCAACTTGGTACCCATTTACTGCCAGACCCACTTTTGCAGGCTCCTTCTCAATTTGTTCAAAGGTGGCTGTTACCGCTCACATGGTGTCCCATTATGGGAACTGATTTCAAGAATACTTTACACACGTCAGTAAAATGCGGTATTCAAATCATGGACAATATAGGGAACAATTTACAGAGAATCTGACTAAGCTGCATTATATTACGGTATTCCAAATTTCATCTGAATCTGACATACCATGGCAACTTAGTGCACCATTTACAGAAAATCGGACAAACATATATTTCCTGAAAAACGAATAGAATATAGGGGATTTGGTGTACCATTTACATAAAATCGGACGATTTAAGTACGCTATGCAAAATTTGGCATGGATAATCGCATATCGCATCGGCCAAAACCTGAGCTGGAAAATATGGAAGCTCTGCACCGGTTGGATTTATTCTAGTTCATGTCATGGGTGTTAAAATTCTGAACCGATTGGATTAATATTTATTTATTTTTTTTTTTTTTGAGTTTAGAGTTTGAGAATCACTGTTGCCGTCGATTGAGGCAGACACTGTAAATCGGCTACACATATAAAAGATTGGTTGAGATTTTCACTTGAAATTGTAATGAGACAGTCTTGAGAAGTTATTGTTTCATATTAAATAACCAGTAAGCGGAGCAGTATAGTCAGACGGAACCATTTAATACCCTAAACAACTACCACAGAGCTTTAAGTTTCTGCGGATCAACATTCCGAGCCTGAGAAATATCTGGTGATATTTGCACTCTCTTAACCGATTAGAGATCTACAGCTCGTCTACGGCATCTTTTCCAAATCATATTTTCCTGGTCTAAAAAAATTACTTCATATTTTACACAAACAAATTTTTGATTCGTTTGACCCGCTATTCACCCTTCATCATATGACAGCCATTCCAATTAGTTAGTCACATCGCCTACCCCATGGAACAGGGACGTACGCAGGGGGCGGCCCTGGGGGCCCGCCCCCCCCCCCCCCCCCCCCGAAATGAATTTTGTTCATAGTAAATATATGCTTCCAACAGCGAATTTTTTCATTTTGTACTACCGGATTTTTTTTTGTACTACTATCGAATTTGACCGGCATGTTAGCAGTCGTAACATCGCCCAGGAACTAAAAGTCGACCATAAAACTGTTTCAAACCATTTACACAAAGCTGGATTCAAAAATAAGCTCGATGTTTGGGTGCCACACCAATTAACAAAAAAAGGATGGATCGAATTTCCATCTGCAAAGCCTTGGTAAATCGGAATGAGAAAGACCCATTTCCTAAACGGATGGTGACTTGAGATGAGAAATGCATCACATATGATAACCCTGTACGAAAGCGATCGCGGTCAAAGAGCAGTGAAGCACCTCAAATGGTAGCCAAACCTGGACTAATGGCCAAGAAGTTTCTGCTATGCATTTAGTGGGACTGGAAGGAGATTGTTGTTGATTATGACTTGCTTCCATATGGTCAAAAGCTAAATTATGATCTCTACTGTCAACAACTGAACCGTTTGAAGATAGCAATTGACCAGAAACGGCCAGAATTGGTCAACAGAAGTGGTGTCGTGTTCCAACAGGACAACGCTAGGTCACTCACATCTACAGTGACTCGCCAGAAACTTCGGGAGCTTGGTTGGGAAGTTTTAATGCATCCGCCATACAGTCCGGACTGGGCACCAAGCGATTATCATATTTTTCTTGCATTGCAAATTTTTTTATTTATAAAAAAATTGGTATCCAGGGAAAATCTACTACTAGAAATTTTTGCAAATAGAGAGCAGAACTTCTATGAGAGATACATTACTTTTCTATGAGAGAGACATTACCTTTAAAATGGCAACAAATCATACAACAAAACAGTTCATATTTTACAAATTATAATGAACATCTAGTCGAGACATGACGATCTTTATACTTAATAGTGGGTCTAGGACCAATATTTCGCGGCGTTTTTGGGACTGCACAAAGCTATAATACCCTGACAACATAGTTGTGTAGAATATAAAAATCGATTTTTTGAAACCGAGAATGGGTTAACGGGTTTTATTAGTTTTTTTAAGATGTGACTAATCTGTATTTATTACTTGTTCCTTTCATTTCAGTGCGATCCCGGTGTCGGTGTCGATCGTTTCTTTCATGCCATCTACACACAACCCTCCACCCGCATGGTAATGCTATTGGGTTCTGCCTGTTCCGAAGTTACCGAAAGTCTTGCCAAAGTTGTACCCTATTGGAATATCGTACAAGTTTCATTTGGTTCCACGTCCCCAGCGTTGAGCGATCGTCAGGAATTTCCCTATTTCTATAGAACAGTGGCGCCCGACTCTTCACACAACCCAGCCAGAATTGCATTTATACGGAAATTCGAATGGGACACGGTGACCACATTCTCACAAAATGAAGAAATTCATTCGTTGGCTGTGAATGATTTAGTCACCGAATTGGAAGCAGCAAATATTTCCTGTGCAGCCACAATAACTTTCGGTGCCACCGATTATAAGGAGCAGCTATTGTTACTGCGCGTAAGTTTTTCTCTATGTAATTAAAGTTTATTAATTATTTAGGCATATAGCAAAATTACTTTGTAAGGTATATTAGGAGTAAATTAAGGGTCCCACATATTTCTTCCTCTTATCCCTCATTGAAAACTTTTATATGAATATTAATTTATTTGTGGATTAAGTATAACAAAAGAAAAACACACACACGCACACCACATGCTTCCGCAGAATGTGTAGCTTATCCTAAATAAGTTGTTAACCATTATGGAGCTCATTTGTAATTCACTACCCATTGTTAATAAATATGAATCTCATTTTGATACGCATAAAGGTATCCTTGGCTTCCGTTCCGTTTTTCATTCAAGAACTCCTTAGCTTAGCTTACCCATATTGGCTCATTTACAGTTTCTCACACAAAACTTTGTGCCGCCACAATTTTCCAAAGAACATGTGGCAGAACTTTTCAACAACACAGATTTATTCATGTGCTAATTTCTTCAACTTTTCTGCCAAAAGGAAAAAAAACTTAATTTCAATCCCACACACACACTCATACCCACACCTTTAACACTCACTTCTAACTAACATGCACACGTGCACACACCCTTACATATGTATGCAAATTTATTCATTGAAAAAAATCTCTTTGTTGTTTTTCTTAAGGAAAGTGATACTCGAATTATAATCGGTAGTTTCTCGCCCATCCTGGCACCTCATATCCTCTGCGAGGCATATCGACTGCGTATGTTCGGTGCCGACTATGCCTGGATTTTACACGAAAGTATGGGTGCACCGTGGTGGCATGATTTGTCCTCCACCACGTCCTACTGCACGGCCAAGGAATTACAGACAGCTGTGGAAAATCTGATAATTGTATCATCCCATAATAGCATCGTTGGCAATAACATCAGTTTAAGTGGCCTGGTAAGTACCGGAGCAGATGTTCGCTCATTATCATTAAAATTTTGCATAAAATCTACTTTTCGACTGTGTGACTGGCAGTGGGGCTGATGGATGATTTACAGGAACACATTTAACATGGAAATTAATTAATTTACCACACACACACATGTTTCAAATGGAGGCTTTAGTTTGACATGGTGGTTGTTGTGTGGTGGATAAATAAGTTTCGAATCCGAATTTGATTGGAAAATTCCAAATATACAGTTTTTGACCTCTGAACTAATTTGTGTTACGCTTTAGTGGGAATGAAAGAAATGAGGGTTTGTCAATCACAAAATTTAATTGGAAAACATCGGAATACAACTTAATCTCGGGGTAGCAGGTATTTCTTTTTTAAACAAAATTATCTTAGGCCTGGGAATTTTTGTCTAAAATAAAATTTGGTGAGCTAAGAAAAATTGTCTATAGAAAAAACAAACTTCAGGAAGAACTTAGGAATTTGTTCCATAGAAAAAAACAATCCTAGGGAAGGTCTGAGGATTTTTTTTCTAAAGGTTGTCCTGAGGTATTTTTTCTAGAAAACATCCTTAGATAAACCTGAGAAATTTTATCTATAGAGAACCGAACCATTAGAGGACCCTCAGAGGACCTAAAGATTGTCTCAATAGAAAAAGCATCCTCTATAAAAAAAAACAATCCTCAGGAGGGTCCTGACGAGGGTCTTGAAGATTTTTTTCCATAGAAAGACACAATCCCCTGTAGAATCCTGAAGATATTTTTCTATAGATAGGAACAATCTCCAGGAGAATCCAGACGAGTTTTTTTTTATAGAAAACAAAATAACCGCCAGTAAGGAACAACCACTAAGGAAAGTTCATAAGTCGGACGCAGCCGAATATATGATACCCGTCACCACTTTTGCTAAATACAGAAGATCTTCATATGTACAAATAATAATCCGCAATATTCCAATACAGCTTATTCTAGATTTAATTTGTTTTATCGGAGGAAAATATATAGTGGGAGCTATATCTGAATTTGAACCGATTTTCATGAAACTTAGCAGACGTCATTCTAGACTTAATTCAGTATGCCTCGCCAAATTTCGTGCAAATCGTAAGATATATAGGGACTTTGGTGCACCATTTACATTAAATCGGACGAAAATATATATGGGAGCTATATCTAAATCTGAACCTATTTCCACGAAACTTAGCAGACATGATTCTAGACTCGATTCAATAGGCTATTCTGAATTTCGTGCAAATCGAAGGCTATATAGGGTCCATTTATAATAAATCGAACGAAAATATATATAGGAGCTACATATAAATCTGAACCGATTTTCACGAAACTTAGCAGACATCATTCTAGACTTAATTCAGTATGCCTCGCCAAATTTCGTGCAAATCGAAAGATATATAGGGACTTTGCTACACCGTTTACATTAAATCGGACGAAAATATATATGGGAGCTATATCTAACTCTGAACCGATTTTCACTAAACATCATTCTCGTCTTAGTTCAGTACGCTATGCCAAATTTCGTGCAAATCGAATGAATTTTAGGGACGTTGGTGCACTATTTACTGAAAATCGGACGAATATATATATGGGAGCTATATCTAAATCTGAACCGATTTTCCCAATTTCAATAGGATTCATTCTTGGGCCAAATAAATGAGCTGTGCCAAATTTCATCCAATTCGAATCAAAGATGCGACCTGTACTTTGTTTACAATTTAACATGGACAGACGGACGGACATGCATAAATCGAATTAGAAAGCAATTCTATGCATATTCTCAAAAGATACCATGTGTCTGGCTTGAGGAATTTCTACAATAAAAGAATGTTCAGGCGGTCTTTTATATAGAGAAAGTACCATCCTTGGGTCCTACCTTTTTTGTTTCTTAAAATTCCAATACTTCGCCTCTTCGAACCATCAACGATAATAAAAATCATCATGACATCCTCATATAATCACTTTGTGCAAATACCAATATTACCAAATTGAAATTACCATCGAAATTTATATTTACCAAATACCAAAATTTCCTCATTTTGTTGTTTTTCTTTTTCTCCCCTCTTCTTGTTCTTTTTTCTCTGTGCTGTGTCCGTACAAATTCTATTGCAGAATAACGATATGTTTTACATGCAATTACGACAACAATCGGAAAAATTCAATGACATTTTCAACAATGGCCGAAGTGGCACAACAAAGCAACAGCATCGACAACAGTGGCAGTCATCGAGTCCAAAACAAAAACACAGAAAACATGCTTCTCTTGCCACCAATGGTGGCGGCAATGGTCGCAGCAGTGCCATCGCAAACAAAGCAGCCACAAAAAGTGTTACAAAGCAAACAAAAGTCAGCAGTGGCAGCCACACCAATAATGATGGTCATAGTCGGCACCTGACAGCGACAGATGCAACCGCAGCAACAAAGGATGTAACATCCTCATCCACATCCACATCATCATCGTTATCGTCATCCTCGTCGTCCTCCTCATTCATGCTGGGCACAACAATCGTTTCACGCTACGCTCCCCAAACATACGATGCCGTCTGGGCCATTGCATTGTCATTGCGCGCCGCCGAAGACCGTTGGCGCAAAGATCCGATGCAACAATCCAAATTGGATCGTTTCGATTATACACGCAGTGACATGGCAACGGAATTTCTCCAGCAAATGGGCAAATTGGATTTTCTTGGTGTTTCGGTAAGTGCTGTGACAAAATTGTAATTAACAAAAAACAAAACAACAACAAAATATAATTGAAACATTAACGAAAAATTTAATTAGCATAATATTATGTTTTGAGGGGCAAAATTATAATGGAGGGAAGTAATAAGGGTATTGGAAATATTATAAGGGAAGCAAGTATACTGTAGTGGGGTCGTCAAATAGTAGTGTCACCCAATGTCTAGAAATACAATAAATTCATGTAACATGATAGGAAATAAATCCATGAATTCTTATGTGGAAAGTCTCGAAGTTTTTATATACGAGGTCTGATCCAGAACGAACCGTTCAAGTCTCCCCTTTACATTTAACCGAACTTGATGTGTTTTTTATACCCTCAGCCTTATGACTAATGAGGGTATATACACTTTGATACGCAAAAATGTGCCTCATCGAAATATTGGTTTTAGAACCCATGTTTCAGACAATTTGGAATCGATTTACAAATGTCCGTCCGTTTTGTGTGCACCAAAACTCTCGAAGTGGGTAACCGATTTCATCCAAGCTTTGCACAATGTAATATTTCTTCCAAACTTAGTTCATGTTGGAAGATGGGGAATATCGGTGCACTCTTTCCGGTATCTCCCCCACAAAATTGTGAAAATTATGCAAAAGTTAATTTTATAATATTATGCAAACGGACTATTCGATTTGAACAAAATCTGCACAACCTATTATTTTTTTCAAGCCCAGATCAGATCCAAAAATCGGAGCCTATCTATCTGGTACCTCCCCTAATGCAATATCAGGCAAATGGAATTTTCGATTTGAACCAAACTTTGTACAATCTATTATTTTTAGAAGCAGATTACGCCCGGAGATGAGACTCATTGGTCCACTATTTGTGTTACCTCCCCCACAAAAGGCCTATATTTTATAAACTTATAAATTAAATTTAAAGCTAATTGAATAACCTCTTTGATAAAAATATATTCCTTATATAAAGCCAATAATAAAACCGGTGAGTAATTTCAAAGACCTCCGCAAACCATAGGCTGAAGATATATCTGTCTGTAACACCGACTGACTCATTTTTATACCCTCCACCATAGTATGGAGGGTAAATTAATTTTGTCTCTCCGTTTGAATCTCAGCGAACTATTCATTTCTCAATCTATAAAGTATATATGTATATTATCGATCAGGGTAAAACAATCCTGCCATGTCCGTCCGTCCGTTGTAATCCCGCAATCTTCTGAAGGAATTGAGATGAGGTACTGAAAATTTACATAGGATTGTCGGATGTTTATTCCGAGCCTGGGCAATATTTCGTGATATTTGCCCCGACTTGGCCGATTAGAGGTCAACAGCACATTTTCCTTACGTTTTCCGAATATTAAATTCAAATTACTTGTCCAGATTCCCTTCACGGTGGGTTGAGTTGTGATGTTAGGATTATATTCGATTAGAAAACACACAACGAAATTAAGTATTCGCTCCACTTCATCCTAAATTTTTATTCTGATCATCACTGAAAATTATAGGCGTTGTCCTTGACCATAATTGGAACATCATGGAAAATTTCAAAGCGATCAGCGCTATATTTCCGCCCTCTTATGCGGTAATGGGTTACTAAATACTATCAGAATACGTAAGCACCTGTAAATATTTGAGTGTAACTCCCACATCCGAGTACATACGAAAATGTAATTGGAATCATTCTTCTATATGATTCGCGAGTAAATATATACGCTATAGAATACAAATTTTGTAACTGTTAACACAAAAGTCAAGGTCCATTTGATAATCAAAAAAGGCATCTCCCTTCTCCATGCTAAATTTCATGATGTTCGGGCCATTATTGAGGCCTCTGGAGCGACCAGAAAACCCGACAAAAATGTAGTATTTGGTTCATTTCATCCCCTAAATATAAACGCATCATTACAAAAACAATATTTTGGCTAGAACTCGTCCTACATACAAAATTTCGTGATGATTGGTCCATAACTGTGGCCTGTATCGTGTTTACAAATTATAATGGACAGACGGACGTACACATATGTCTAGATCGAATCAGCTAGTCGAGATATGACGATCGGTATACTTAAAGTGGGTCTAGGACCAATATTTCGCGGCGTTACAAACTTTTGGGGCTGCACAAAGCTATAATACCCTGACAACATAGTTGTGTAGGTTATTGGTCCAAGGCTCACCTTTAAGTATACCGATCGTCATATCTCGACTAACTGAGTCGATCTGGACATGTGTGTCCGTACAGGCCACAGTTATAGACCAATCTTCGCGAAATTTTGCATGTAGGATTGGTTCTGGCTAGTGTAGACCCATATTATTTTTGGTAAAGATCGGTGATTACTTAGGAAATGAAATCGACCAAATACGTAATTTTTGTCAGTTTTCTGGTCGCACCAGAGGCCGCAAAATTTTACATGGAGAAGAGGTTCGGGCCAAATAATAAGCATGTCTGTTTTGATAAATATCGGTCAATATTTATGGCTAATGGCAAAATTTGCATTCTATGGAGTATATTTTTACTCCTGAAGGACATAGACCCGAGAACTTGATAATATATCCAAGAGGAGTTGTTGTTCTTTGATATTTTACATGAAGTTCCGGTTATGGTCAAGAACGTCGCCTATAAATTTCGGTGATGTTGAGATTGTCAGATATTCTAGTCGCTCTAGAGGCCATTGTTATATGCAGAACATGACATATTTTACACGATGAAGGGGATCTGACCAAATACTTAGAACGACTGTTTAGATCAACTGATCGATCAATATTCCGAGGATCAAATCAATCAAGACCTAGTAACCAAATTTTAATTGTATGACATAAATATTTTACTCAGGGTTAGAAAGTGGAGCTGTTAACCTGAAATCAGTCAAGAGGGTGCAATTATCGCAAAATATTACCCAGACTCAGAATATAGAACCGCAAGATAGAACCGCACTTAGATTTTCGTTCTAGTTGTGTAGGGTATCATAGGGTCGGCCCCGTCCGAATATACTGCTACGTCTATATTAAAATAGTTTATTCCGCATTTTGGGGATATCTCTGTATAGGCTTATTGCACAATAGGAGATTCCAAAGCGGGATGTTCTTTACTCGAAATTTTCAGATTATACCTTAGAAAGTATGGAATTCGAAGACGATTTAAATAATTTAGACATCTGTTGTAATCATTCTACTTCCGGAGGATAAAACACTTGAACGTCAGGTTCGAGCATGAACTACATCGGGCCGCATTTAGGCCTAGCCCCCATATAATGATAACTACCGATTTTCGATTTATACCCTTCACCACACTGTGGTACAGGGTATTATGTTTTTGTGCATATGTTTGTAACAGGCAAAATGAAACGTAGGAAGAATCACTTTCGCATGTCCGTCCGTCCATGTAATTTGTGATTTGGATGAAATTTGGCATAGGTCTCTTTTATTGGCCCAAGAACGAACTCTATTGAAATTGGGAAATATCAATTCAGATTTAGATATAGCTCCCATATATATTTTCGTCCGATTTAATGTAAATGGTGTACCAAAGTCCCTATATATCTATCGATTTGCACGAAATTTGGCACAATGTAATAAGTTAGGTCTAGAATTATGTCTGTTAAGTTTCCTGAAAATCAATTCAGATTTAGATATAGCTCCCATATATATTTTCGTCCGATTTAATGTAAATGGTGTACCAAAGCCCCTATATATTTTTCGATTTGCTCAAAATTTGATATAGCTGAATTAAGTCTAAGTCTACTGAATTAAGTCTTGAATGATGTGTTCTAAGTTTCGTGAAAATCTGTTCAGATTTAGATATAACTCCTATATATATTTTCTTCCGATTTTATGTAAATTGTGCACTCAAGACCCAAAATTAGGCCGTTTGCCAGAAAATTTTGCATAACGTACTGAAATTAGTATAGCCTAACGTGGTGCCAAGTTTTGTAGGAGTCGATTCTTATTTAGATATAGATCCCATATATAGTTTCGTCCGATTTTAAGGAAATGGTGCATCAAAGACTCAAAGTTAGGCCGATTGACACCCAGCGTGTGGAGGGTTTTGTTGAAATCGGTTCAGATTTGGTTCAGTAGCTGCAAACAATTATTTGAAGCTTTTTATTCGTGAACTTTAGAGTTACCTCAAAAACTTGACCTAGAGCGAATTTGTCCTTTTAGGTTCGTTATATAAACGCCAAGCGCTTTCCTTCGCAGGAAAAGAATTTTCCACGCCACTCGACTTTGTGTCATAGGGTAATAATTTTTATACCCTACACAACTATGTTGTCAGGGTATTATAGCTTTGTGCAGCCCCAAAAGTTTGTAAAGCCGCGAAATATTGGTCCTAGACCCACCTTTAAGTATACCGATCGTCGTATCTCGACTAGCTGAGTCGATCTAGACATGTTTGTCCGTCTGTCTGTCCATTATAATTTGTAAACACGATACAGGCCACAGTTATGGACCAATCTTCACGAAATTTTGCATGTAGGATGGGTTCTGGCCAATGAAGACCCCTATGGAAAAGATCGGTTAATATTTAGGGGATGAAATGGACCAAATACTAAATTTTTGTCGGTTGTTCTGATCGCTCCAGAGGCCGCAACAATGGTCCGAACATCGTGAAATTTTGCATGGAGAAGCGGATCGGGCCAAAGAATAAGCATGCCTGTTTGGAGAAAGATCGGTCAATATTTAGCGGGTCAAATGGACCCTGACTTTTGTGTGAAAAATTACAAAATTTGTATTCTATGGCGTATATATTTACCCCTGAAGGTCATAGACCCGACAAGTTTATATTATATCCAAGAGGAGTGGTTGACCTTTAAATTAAGACCAATTATGTTGTTGTATGTGCTCGGATGTGGGAGTTACATCTAAATATTTACAGGTATCTCCGTATTCCTATATCATTTAGTAACCCATTATCACTCTGGAGAGCGGAACTATAGCGCTGATCGCTTTGAAATGTTCCATGAGGTTCCAGTTATGGTCAAGGACAACGCCTATAATTTTCGGGGATGATCAGATAATAATTTTGGAATGAATTGGGCCGAAAACCTAATTTTTTGTGTTATTTTCGAGTCGATCTATAGACCTCAAATGAAAGCCGAACATCACAACACAACCCACGGTGAAGGGAATCTGGATAATAGCTGTACTAAATACTCGTAATATTCGGAAAATATGTCAGTGTGAGGAAAAGGTGCTGTTTACCTCTAATCGGGCAAGAGGGTGCAAATATCACGAAATATTTCCCAGTCTCGGAATAAACATCCGCAGAAAATTTGAGTTCCGTGGCAGTTGTGTAGGATATCGTATGGTCGGCCCCGTCCAACTATACTGCTCCGCTCACTGGTTATTACTAGGTTTTGTGTGTTCTCAAATCATAATATTTTGTGACAGTTCCAATCAACATTAATTACCCAAAACCCCCACCCTCCCATAACCTCTTATTAGTATTAAATTTTATAGTTCTCACGAAAATTTTGTTGATACTGAAAACGTGCCGTTTCTTAAAATTTCATTTTAATTAGAAAAAAATATTAAAATATTGCAATTTTCTTTCCTCTTCCCCCTTTTTTTCATTACAGGGTCCTGTGTCGTTTAGTGGTCCCGATCGCATTGGCACCACCGCCTTCTATCAAATACAAAATGGCCAATTGGAACCCATTGCCCTCTACTATCCGGCCGAGAATGCTTTGGACTTTCGGTGTCCGCACTGTAAACGAGTTAAGTGGCATGGCGGCCAAGTGCCGATAGCAAAACGAGTCTTTAAGGTTCGGGTGGCGACAATAGCGCCAATGGCATTCTACACGATAGCCACACTGTCGTCGGTGGGCATTGCCATGGCATTGGCATTTCTGGCATTTAACCTGCATTTTAGAAAATTAAAGTAAGTATTAGGGTGCGGTTGGGGTGGATGCTGCTACTGCAGGTGACATTGGGTGAGAAAAGGCCATCAAAGATGTAAGAGTTGGGTCAAAAGAGCTGTGGAAGTAAGAGAAGAGGGGAAAGAAATTAAAAAGGGGACAAAGGAGTGTTGGTCTCTGGGAATGGTCAAAGTGTTTGTGTTTGGTAATGAATTTTGAGAATCAGCTCCTCGCCGCACACCCTCTCTTGAGTTGAGCACAAACAAGGAAATGACAAACTATGGGGTCATGTTCTTAGTTTACTTACTTGTTCTTCTTGTTTTTTTTTTTTTGCTCTTGCTTTATATATCCTGTGTTCGATGCTTGTTGTTCGAGGGTGTACTCGAATAACGAGCGAAAGCGATAGCTGCTTAAATAGGATACGTTTGAGTGAGTTTGTTTAAAGATTTGTTTAATTGGTTTACTTCTCTTTGTTGGCTTTTTTTTCCACCCGCGCGAACTGTATTTTTTATTGGATTTTTGCTACTCGTTTTTCCCCAACATTTTTCATTATACCCCTTCTTCTTTTTCTTCCGTTTTTTCTAGAGCCATTAAATTGTCAAGTCCTAAATTGAGCAACATAACTGCTGTGGGCTGTATTTTTGTTTATACTGCCGTCATTTTATTGGGTTTGGATTACTCAACTCTGCCATCGCCGGAGGACACATTTGCCACAGTCTGTACGGTAAGTGTACTGATGCTGCAACTTGTTATTGGAATTCTGATGTTGTTCTTATTGTTGTTGTTCGTCTTTAAAAAACAGCAGCAAATTTGTATATTCCTTTCGTTTATATAGTCCTTTCAATTGATGACATTCATACGAATACTGTTGTTGTTGTCTTTTTTTTTTTTTTGATGTCTTATAAATTTGCATTTTATTTTACTTTCTCTCTGCTTCTCGGTCTTAATGTATTTTTAAAAAGTTCGAAGAAAATATCCAATTGAATTTTTTAAAGGTCATTTAAAAGCAAAAAAAGTATACGACGACATGTTCGGTTATTGTTGCAGATACAATTCCCCAAATTGAAAAACAGAACAGAAATGCGACATAAAGTTAACCTGGATGAGGACAAATGTGCATTTCACATGTTTTCCAATGAATTTTTGTTTAATACGTGAGGAAATTTCCAAAACATTGAAGGTTTCCACAGAAAGGAAACATTGATGTGGGAGGAGAGTCAGGGCAGCAATAATGAAAACATAAAAAATACAAGGCGTGGATTTTTTAAAGAATGTTTTTTCAAGGCTCTCTCTATACAAGGCGTGGATTTTTTAAAGAATATTTTTTCAAGGCTCTCTCTATACAAGGCGTGGATTTTTTAAAGAATATTTTTTCAAGGCTCTCTCTATACAAGGCGTGGATTTTTTAAAGAATATTTTTTCAAGGCTCTCTCTATGCAAGGCGTGGATTTTTTAAAGAATATTTTTTCAAGGCTCTCTCTATACAAGGCGTGGATTTTTTAAAAAATATTTTTTCAAGGCTCTCTCTATACAAGGTGTGGATTTTTTAAAGAATATTATTTCAAGGCTCTCTCTATACAAGGCGTGGATTTTTTAAAGAATATTTTTTTCACGGCTCTCTATACAAGGCGTGGATTTTTTAAAGAATATTTTTTCAAGGCTCTCTATACAAGGCGTGGATTTTTTAAAGAATATTTTTTTCAAGGCTCTCTATATAAGGCGTGGATTTTTTAAAGAATATTTTTTTCAAGGCTCTCTATACAAGGCGTGGATTTTTTAAAGAATATTTTTTTCAAGGCTCTCTCTCTATGCAAGGCGTGGATTTTTTAAAGAATATTTTATCAAGGCTCTATGCAAGGCGTGGATTTTTTAAAGAATATTTTATCAAGGCTCTATGCAAGGCGTGGATTTTTTAAAGAATATTTTATCAAGGCTCTATGCAAGGCGTGGATTTTTTAAAGAATATTTTTTAGGGCTTTATACAATGACGGAGGGATGCTTGCAAAAATATTCTTTAAAAATCCTTACTTGGGTATTGAAAAATCCACATTTATGTTGTTCCAAGCATACATTCTCCATTGTAAACAATATTTAGTCTTCCCTTTCCCATGTTGATTTTATTTCTTCATGTATGTCTGCTACAGACATCCAACAACACACAATAACAATAAACTTTGCTAAATACAAAATTTATAACAAAAACGAAGTTCATTGAAACTTCAATTTTCTATACACATCCATGGTCGTCCATTATTCCACAATCAATTTCCCCATTCCGGACCATTGAAGCATATTTATTACTTTGTATTTGAATAATACGAAAATATCATTAAGTTCAGCCACAGGACACAGGCGAAACATCCAACGAACAATTGCATGAATTAATTACACTTAAGTGCCCAACAAATAAAGAAATACGGGGGGAAAAGGACCTGTTGGACAATGGAGCTGAACTTGAAACTTGTGGCTTTGGGTCACATAAAGAATAAAAATAAACAATATACGACCGATATCTGAGTGCACAAGGAGTGTGTGTGTGTATGAGTGTGTACAAAACATTTTGCCAAACAATACACAAAATGTAGTCCTGAACAAAAATTCTTCATGTTTTTATTGTTTGACCAAACAAAGGCTACTTCGAAGAAAGAACAGGAAATAGGAAAATAAATTTCCAAAAAAAAAATGTAAAGATTCCCATTGAGGAGATGGGAAACTGGGAACTGTAGCAGTGCACAATGGAAATGAAATAAAAATCACATCATCAATTTTCGCTTAAGGTTTCACCTTTACCAACACAAACAAACAAAAGTGTTCGCACGCACTCTCCCACCCTTACAAACACTTACATGGAATGTAAACAACAATCATTAGGATACTTGAACACATACCGAAGTGAATCCGAAAAAGAAACATGGAACTTGAAAAATCCTCACGCACTGGCACTTAAAAATTCATTCTCTGTTTCTGCTGCTTAACACGCCAACACATTCGGTTGGCACTCTATGGCCAACATCCGCAACATAGGATGACAAAGAAATCAGAAACAGGGATAAAGGTCGGGTGGTTAGAAAGTAGAACAGAAAAACCAAAAATAAACTCTGGAAATGAAAATTATATGTTCCACTGGGGAAATATCAAAAATCATTCAAAAAACCCCGTAATCCATCCATAGTGAGATCAGTTGGAATGAAGCTGTATTTTTTGTTGCAACAGAGTTAAATAAAGAAATGGTTAAAATAAGAGGACGCCCTTGGAATTAATTTTTTTAAGAACATTTCGTCATGCATCCACACAAGGCGTGGTGTTTTAAAGAATATTTTTTAAGGACCACCAAAGGCGTGGATTTTTTAAAGAATATTTTTTAAAGACCATCAAAGTCGTGGATTTTTTTGAAGAATATTTTTTTAATGGTGGCGTAGGTGATGATAGATACCAAGCAACGGCTCTTATTGGCTTTGACATGACGAAGTCCATGCTTATCTTGGTCTCTCTTTCATCTCAATTGTGGACACTGACCTCCCTGCGGTGCCACCTGGGGAGCTATTTTCATCACCCGAGGAAATAGTGAGCTAATATGTGCTGCGAGTACACCCAAAAGAACTATAAAAAAAGGGGTGGAGGCGTCGGGTTAGTTGTCCACTCTCGGAAAACACAACCTACTATGAAAAAGCAAAGAAAAAGAAAACCAAACCCCCCTAATGTTGACGACCCCCGCAAACGTATAAAGGACCACGATTTGGGAATCTGCACTTGGAATGTGAACACGTTTTTCAGAACAGGCGCAGTTTTCGCTTTGACGGATGTACTCAAGAAGTACAAAGCCGATATTATTGCCTTACAGGAAATGCAATGGAATGTGACAGGCGTAATTAAATCAGACGAATACGCTGCCATGACACGAGACATGATTTTGGCTGCGGATTTTTGGCTAACAGGATAATAAAAGACCTCGTCTCCAGATTCACTCCAGTAGATGAGCGAATTGCTATAATCCGTATAAAAGCGAAGTTCTTCTACATCAGATGAACAGACCAAAGACATATTTTACGAGCGCATAGAAACAGCATATGACCGCTGCCCTTGCCATGACATTAAAATTTTGCTAGGAGATTTTAATGCAAAAATCGGAAGGGAAAATATCTTTCCGTCGGAAAATTCAGCCTCCATGAAGAAACATCAGACAACGTCATGAGTTTTTTGCTTGGCGGCAGCAAAAAACATGGTAGTTAGCAGCACCAGACTCAAGCATCTCGATATACACAATGCCACTTGGATTTCTCCCGATCTAACAACGAGAAATCCAATCGATCATGTTGTGATAGACGGAAGGCATTCATCCAATGTTATAGACGTGTGATCGATCCGAGGAGCGAATATCGATTCGGACCATTACCTTGTGGCAGCCAAGGTACGCACCCGTCTAAATGTAGCAGCAAAGGTGCGATCTAACACAACACGGAAACTCGACGTCGAAAAGCTGCAAACACAACAGGTAGCCGAGGCCTACTCCGCTCAACTTACCCACCTGCTTGAAGAAAGCACTTCTTGTCCCGATAATATATAGAAGAACAATGGCAAAGAATTGTCCACTCCCTACAACCTGCAGCAAAAGCAACACTTGGCTACCAAAAACCACCACCAAGAAACCCATGGTACGATCAGGAGTGTCGTAATGCTACTGATCTGAATGACGCAGCGTATAGGGCAACCCTGCAGACAGTTGCAACACGTAACGTGATGGAGAATTATCGGGAGAAAAGGAGAGAAGAGAAACGTGTTTTCAGAAAAAAGAAAAAAAACCACAAAAAAACGTGAGCGTGAGCAAATCGTGATGTACAGGAGTCAGAATGAACTCCTGAAATTTTACCAACGAGTAAAACACCAAACCGAAAGCTTTGGTGCAGGCACATCCACCTGTAGAGATGAAGTAGGAAACCTGGTGCGTGTTGAGAATCTGGAAGGAGCACTTTAAAATGTTTCTGGTATCAAATAATAGCGTTGAAGAAGATAACCCAGAACCAATAAGATGATGGTATAGAGTGTATACCACCTAGCCAAGATGAGGTCATAAAAACAATTAATCGGCTCAAGAATAATAAAGCAGCAGGAGCCGATGGGGTACCAGCCGAACTATTCAAGACGGATGGCCAGATGCTGGTCAAGATCGTACACCAGCTGATTAGTACAATTTGGCTAGAGGAATGCATGCCCAATGACAAAACAACACCTGTTACTCGCCTACGCCCATGACATCGATATAATGGGTCGAACATTGCGAATGGTAAAAGCCACCTTTGAACAAATTGAGCCTACCAAAGTGGGACTGACAGTAAATGGCGTAAAGAACAAGCTGATGGTATCAACGTCTACGTCCAGTAGACACGGACCAACTGTGGAAATTGAAAACTACAGCTTCGAGGTCTTTAAAGATTTTATACACCTTGGTACCGCCATACGTAAAACGAATGACATCAGTTTTGAAATTCGGAGAAGGATTGTGATGGCCAACAGATGTTACTATGGTCTATGTAAGCAGTTTAGAAACAAGGCCACCTCTCGCCAGACCAAACTCACACTTTACAAGACGCTGATACTACCCTTGCGCAAGCAGATGAGGCAGCTCTTGGAGTGTTTGAGAGAAAAATTCTTCGAAAGATCTATGGGCCGATTGCGTTGACGGTGAATATCGCCGTCGAATGAACCACGAGCTTTACAATTTATACGCGGACATCGACATAGTCAGTCGTATTGAGCTGCAGCGACTGCGGTGGCTACGCCATGTTGTGCGAATGAATGAGAATGCCCCAGCTCAAAAGGCATATAAAAGCGAGCCTACTGATGGTTCCCGTAGAAGGGGAAGGCCACGAATTAGATGGAAAGACCAAATAGAAAACAACATCTTGGAACGTGGTCTTCCAAATTGGTGGATTTGCGCACAAGACTGACGCGCTTGGAAATTTTTACTTACTTAAGTAACTAAGTATTTTTTTAAGCATCCACACAAGGCGTGGATCTTTTAAAGAATATTTTTTTAAGGACCATCAGGCGTAAATTTTTTTAACGAATATCTCTATATCTCCTAATGCATTTTACCATTCCTAATTTAATTTCTACACCTCACCACAATTGTTACGACTTCATTTATCTTCAACTAATTTTCAGTTCCTTCTTCTTATGTTTTGTTGTCTTTTCAATACCCTCTATAAAATATTTTATTCATTAACATTAACCAGCCATTGTTTCGTTCTGTCCTCATTACAGGCTCGTGTTTATTTATTATCGGCTGGGTTCTCATTGGCTTTCGGTTCGATGTTTGCCAAAACGTATCGTGTCCATCGCATCTTCACGCGCACCGGCAGTGTGTTCAAGGATAAAATGCTACAGGATATTCAACTTATTTTATTGGTGTGTGGCCTGTTGCTGGTCGATGGTCTCGTTGTGACGCTTTGGGTTGTCACCGATCCCATGGAACGACATTTGCATAATTTAACACTGGAAATCAGCAACATTGATCGAAGTGTTGTCTATCAGCCTCAGGTAAATATTTTAACAGCTACAGCGAAGTCATCAATAAAACAGGATAGAGGTTGACTACCATATCCTGACGTATTTATTTAATACCAACAACATCAGATTGTGTGTGTGAATGCTTTTCTTGTTGATGTTGTTGTTGTCGTCATCGTTTTCTTCCCTGGTGACATTATGTAATTTAGAATTTGCTCTATTGACTTTTGATTTGAGGGCGTTCGTGTTTATTAAGCCACTCGCTGTGTCGATGCTGTGTAAACAGCATATTTAGGTTCGGAATTGTGTAGGTGTCACAGTACGAGTATTTGTGTTTTGGTAATGTATTTTCCCCGTTACATGTTTGTCATTTCTGTTAGTCCTTTGGGAGTGCAAATGTCATTGGATTTGAGTGTGTGTGTGTTTCTGTTTACCTACCCATTTATTTGTTTAACTGCCCAAGGATGTCCTTTTGGAATTCAGCAACACTGAACGTGTTAATTGAGAAATTATTTTGGAATACATTCCGAGAATTGGGGTGAGTTGGGATGTAATTTGTCAGTAATTGGTAATGTAAAAGCGAAATCGAAATGTAATTCGGATTTAAATGAAATGGACACCTAACTCTACTCTGTGAAAAGGGGATCAATATTTTTATTCGAAATTGGAAGGAAGGGGGCTTAAAAAATATTCTTTAATAGATCCACGCCTTGAATAGAGCCTTGAAAAATATTCTTTAATAGATCCACGCCTTGAATAGAGCCTTGAAAATATTCTTTAATAGACCCACGCCTTGAATAGAGCCTTGAAAAATATTCTTTAAAAAATCCACGCCTTGAATAGAGCATTCAAAAAATCCACGCTTTGAATAGAGCCTTGAAAAAACAAACATACTCTTACTTAAAAAATTTCGTTCCACGCCTTGAATAGAGTCGCCTCGGTCTTTTGCGCAAAAAATTTTCCAATATTTTCTTTGAATAGTATTCGCCTTCCTCTTCTGCGTGAACCATCAGCTGGTTCGCTTTTATATGCCTTCTGGGCTGGGCCATCTTCATCCATTCTCACAACATGACCTAGCCAACGTAGTCGCTGCAGCTCAATACGTCTCACAATGTCGATGTCCGAGAATAGCTGGTACAACTCATGGTTCATACGACGGCGAAATTTATCGTCTACGCAGATCGGCCATAGATCTTTCGGAGAATTTTTCTCTCAAACACTCCAAGAGCTGCCTCATCTGCTTGCGTAAGTACCCATGCCTCAGATCCATATAACAGCACGGGTGGTATCAGCGTCTTGTAAAGTGTGAGTTTGGTGGCCTTGCTTCTGATTTGTTTGCTCAGACCATAGTAGCATCGGTTCGCCATCACTATCCTTCTCCGAATTTCAAAACTGATGTCATTCGTTTTGTTTATGACTACCTCGAAGCTGTAGTTCTGAAGTTTCACACTTGGTCCGAGTCTACTGGACGTCTTGCTCGTTGATTCCGTTGATACCATCAGCTTGGTCTTCTCGCCGTTTACTGCAAGACCCACTTTGGCAGACTTCTTCTCAATTTGTTCAAAGGTAGCTGTTACCGCTCTCAATGTTCGACCCACTATGTCGATGTCATCGGCGTAGCCGATTACACACACACATGTGTGTACAGAGTGCCAATTCGGTTCGCCTTTGCATCTCGTATGACCTTTTCCAGCAGGATGTTAAAAAGGTTACACGACAAACTGTCACCTTGTCTGAATCCTCGTTCGGTATTAAAGGCTCCGAGAGGTCCTTTCCGACTTTAACTGCTGATTTTGTGCCAGTTAAAGTTATCCTGTTATTTTGTTGAATGCCAAATGCAGACATGGCTTTAAACTCCTCTAAACGAATACGGCTATCGAATGCGGCTTTATAGTCGACGAATAGGTGGAATGTGTCGTTCTGTTTTTCATGGGTCTTTTCCAGGATTTGGAGTGAAAATCTGGTCAATGGTGAATTTGCCAGGTCTGAAGCCGCATTGGTATAGTCCAATAATGTCATTGACCATTGGCTTCAGTCGTTCACACAGTACGCTGGATAGCACTTTATATGCGATGGGAAGGAGACTCAATCCTGCATAGTTGGCACATATCGTCTTGTCTCCTTTTTTGTGTACAGGACACAGGATGTTGAGGTTCCAATCATTGGACATGCATTCCTTTTGCCAAATTGTACTAATTGTGCATGCTTCTTACCAGCATCTGACCACCAGTCTCGAATAGTTCGGCTTGTAACCCATCGGCACCTGCTGCTTTATTATTCTTCAGCCGATTGATTGCAATTCTGATTTCATTTTGGCTTGGTGGTATACACTCTATACCGTCATTTCTTATTGGTTCTGGGTATCCTCTTCACAGCTACTATTTGATACCAGAAGTTTTTCAAAATGCTCCTTCCAGATCTTCAGCAGGATGTCTGTATCTGTCACCAGGTTTCCTTCTTCATTGCCTGTACCAAAGCCTTCGGTTTGGTGTTTTACCGGTTGGTAAAAATTTCGGACTTCATTCTGACTCCTGTACATCTCGATTTGTTCACGCTCACGTTTTTCTTGATCTTTTTTCTGAAAATACGTTTCTCCTCTCTCCCGATAATTCTCCATCGCATTACGTATTGCTACTGTCTGCAGGGTTGCCCTATACGCTGTGTTTCTCACATCAGTAGCATTACGACACTCCTGATCGTACCACGGATTTCTTGATGGTGGTCTTTGGTACCCAAGTGTTGCTTTTGCTGCAGTTTGTAGGGAGTGGGCAATTCTCTGCCATTGTGCTTCTATACTATTATGGGGATAAGAGTTCCTTTCCTCATGCAGGTGGGTAAGTTGAGCGGAGTAGGCTTCTGCTATATGTCGTGTTTACAGCTTTTCGACGTCAAATTTCTGTGTTACATTAGATCGTATCTTTGCTGCTACATTAACACTGGATGAATGCTTTCGGTCTATCACAACATGATCAATTTGATTTCTTGTTGTTCGATAGGGAGAAATCCATGTGGCCTTGATACTTGAATATGGTGCTGCTAACTACCATGTTTTTTGCTGCCGCGAAGTCAATCAACCTCATGCCGTTGTCTGATATTCCTTCATGGAGGCTAAATTTTCCGACGGTGGGGCCAAAGATATTTTCCCTTTCGATTTTTGCATTAAAATCTCCTAGCAGAATTTTAATGTCATGGCCTGGGCAACGATCATATGCTGTTTCTAGGCTCTCGTAAAATATGTCTCTGGTCTGTTCATCTTTATCTTCGGTCGGAGCATGGGCGCAAATGAGACTAATGTAGAAGAACTTTGCTTTTATGCGGATTATAGCAATTCGCTCATCTACTGGAGTGATTCTGGAGACGAGGTCTTTTATTCTCCTGTTAACCATAAATCCGCAGCCAAATTCATGTCTCGTTTCGTAATCATCTGATTTACTTACGCCAGCCCCTTTGTATTTTAATACCCTACACAACTATGTTGTCAGGGTATTATAGCTTTGTGCAGCCTCAAAAGTTTGTAACGCCGCGAAATATTGGTCCTAGACCCACCTTTAAGTATACCGATCGTCATATATCGACTAGCTGAGTCGATCTAGACATGTGTGTCCGTCCGTCCGTCTGTCCATTATAATTTGTAAACACGATACAGGCCACATTTATGGACCAATCTTCACGAAATTTTGCATGCAGGATGGGTTTTGGCCAATGAAGGCCCCTATTTTTTTGGAAAAGATCAGTTAACTTTATTTTTGTCGGTTTTTCTGGTCGATCCAGAAGCCGCAATGATGACCCAAACACCGCGAATTTTTGCACGGAAAAGGCGATCGGGCCAAAGAATAAGTATGGCTGTTTTGATAAAGATCGTCAATATTTAGCGGGTCAAATGGTCAAATTTGTATTCTATGGGGTATATATTTGCACCTGAAGGTCCTAGATCCAAGAAGTTGATAGTATGTTGAAGTGGAGTGTTTTACCTTTCAATTGATACCAATTATACTTTCGTATGTACTCGGATGCGGGACTTACACATAGATATTTACAGGTGCTTACGTATTCGTATATTAGTAATATAGTAACCTATTACCACACTAGAGGGCGGAAATATAGCGCTGATCGCTTTGAAATTTTCCATGAGGTTCAAGTTATGGTCACCGACAACGCCTATAATTTTCGGTGATGATAAGATAATAATTTTGGGATGTAATGGACCGAAAACTTATTTTTTGTGTTTTTTTTCGAGTCGATCTATAGGCCACTTTCTGAGTCGATTTATTTATTTAAATTGTAAACAAAGTACAGGTTGCATTTGTGATCCGAATTGGATGAAATTTGGCACAGTTCATTTGTTTGACCCAAGGACGAACCCTATTGAAATTGAGAAAAATCGGTTCAGATTTAGATATAGCTCCCATATATATTTTCGGCCGATTTAAGGTAAATGGTGCTCCAAAGTCCCTATATATCTTTCGATTTGCACGAAATTTGGCACAGCGCAATGAATTAGGTCTAGCATGATGAGTGCAGATTTCATGAAAATCGGTTCAGATTTAGATATAGCTCCCGATTTAAGGTAATTGGTGCACCAAAGTCCCTGGAAATCTTTTTATTTGCACGAAATTTGTCATAGTGTACTAAATTAAGGCTAGAATGACGTGTGCTAAGTTTCGTGAAAATCGGTTAAGATTTAGATATAGCTCCCATATATAATTTCGTCCGATTTTATGTAATTGGCGCACCAAAGTCCCTACATATCTTTCGATTTGGACGAATTTTGGTATAGGGCACTGAATTAGGTCTAGAATGATGTTGATGTTGCTTCGTGAAAAGATCCATAGCTAGGCCGATTGACACAACGTACTGATGTAATATAAATTAGTCTCTGGCAAGTTTCCCTGAAATAGGTTAAGATATAAATATATAACAAAAACGCGTCGTCTTTTAGGATACAGATGTAGAATATACCCAAAGTGGTGAAGGGTATCATATAGTCGGCCCAGTCCGACTTTACTACTTTCCTTACTGGTTTTATATTTCTTATGGGTGAACTCGTGGCACATATTAGCTCACTATTTCATCGGGTGATAAAATAGCTCCCCAGGTTGCACCGCGGGGACTTCAGTGTCCACAATTGAGATGAAAGAGGGACCAATATAAACCTGGATTTCGTCATATTAAAGCCAATCAGAGCCGTTGCTTGGTATCTATCTTCTCCTACGCCAAAAGATCCAAATCCAAAAAATTCTGGTTTTCTTCCTGGTTTCTTTAAATTTTGTTACCCATTTTATTTAAACACATTTTTCATGTCAACCAAATTGTCCTTTGAACTTTAACATTTGTCTGAGGTTTTGAAAAAAAAAGGCAAAACATTACCCTCAAAAAGTCTTTAAACAATTCCCATTTGAATTAATTTCCACCCCAAAGCAATTTGACATTTATACAGTTTCAAGCTCTGCCAAGTATTCACATTATTATCAATTTCTAAACTGAAAGAACTTTAAGTCTTTAAAAACGATTCGAAAAAAAGAAAACCGAAAACTTGTGGCTTAAGTTCTTCAATAAGGGAAGAAAAGACCCCACCAACAACAACAACGACGACGACAAAGAAACCATAAGAAGATAGACTAACACATTTATTCAATAACTTTACGCTTTATGGTTTTCCTTTCTTTTATTTTTCTTTTTCTGCTGCTGCTTCTTCTTCAATTTGTTGTTCTTCGTCTTTCTTTTGATGGCAACACTTGTGACCTGCCTCAAACAAAAACAAAAACTTCGACGACGACAACAACCCAAGGTGGAAGTCTGTCGTTCCCAGCACACCCAGACATGGCTGGGTGCCCTCTACAGCTACAAAGGTCTGCTGCTGGTCGTGGGCGTCTATATGGCCTGGGAAACACGGCATGTGAAAATACCAGCCCTCAACGATTCCCAGTACATTGGAGTGTCGGTGTACAGTGTTGTCATAACCAGTGGCATTGTCGTGGTCTTGGCAAATCTCATCTCGGAACGTGTTACATTGGCTTTCATAACGATAACGGCATTAATATTAACTTCAACAACGGCCACTTTGTGTTTGCTGTTCATACCCAAGCTGCATGATATATGGGCCAGAAGTAAGTTCAGTAAATCCAGAACAAAAAAAAAGAAAAATGCAAAAAATTAAAAGTATTAGTATTAGCTTCTCAAGTAGCACCAGAAAATGCAAGCAATAACAAGTAGACATAGACTTTGTTTAAGTTGTTTATAATTTGTTGAAATTTAATGTAATCCTCTACTGAGCTCCTTCATTTTGTTTTCTCTATTGCCTATTATTGTCCTTACAAACAGATGATGTTGTGGATCCGGTTATATCAAGCATGGGCTTAAAAATGGAATGCAACACCAGACGTTTTGTCTTGGATGATCGTCGTGAGTTGCAGTATCGTGTTGAAGTACAAAATCGTGTTTATAAAAAGGAAATCGCAAGTCTAGATGCGGAGATACGAAAGCTGGAACGGATGTTGGAGTCGGGGACAGCTTCGACAACAACATCTTCGTCTGCTTCAATATTTGCAGCATTAAAGGTAAGGAGACATATTGCTCTAAAATATATTCTTTAAAAAATCCACGCCTTGTATAGAAGACCCTGAAAAAATATTCTTTAAAAAATCCACGCCTTGTATAGAAGACCCTGAAAAAATATTCTTTAAAAAATCCACGCCTTGTATAGAAGACCCTGAAAAAATATTCTTTAAAAAATCCACGCCTTGTATAGAAGACCCTGAAAAAATAGTCTTTAAAAAATCCACGCCTTGTATAGAAGACCCTGAAAAAATATTCTTTAAAAAATCCACGCCTTGTATAGAAGACCCTGAAAAAATATTCTTTAAAAAATCCACGCCTTGTATAGAAGACCCTGAAAAAATATTCTTTAAAAAATCCACGCCTTGTATAGAAGACCCTGAAAAAATATTTTTGAAAAAATCCACGCCTTGTATAGAAGACCCTGAAAAAATATTTTTGAAAAAATCCACGCCTTGTATAGAAGACCCTGAAAAAATATTCTTTAAAAAATCCACGCCTTGTATAGAAGACCCTGAAAAAATATTCTTTAAAAAATCCACGCCTTGTATAGAAGACCTTGAAAAAATATTCTTTAAAAAATCCACGCCTTGTATAGAAGACCCTGAAAAAATATTCTTTAAAAAATCCACGCCTTGTATAGAAGACCCTGAAAAAATATTCTTTAAAAAATCCACGCCTTGTATAGAAGACCCTGAAAAAATATTCTTTAAAAAATCCACGCCTTGTATAGAAGACCCTGAAAAAATATTCTTTAAAAAATCCACGCCTTGTATAGAAGACCCTGAAAAAATATTCTTTAAAAAAACCACGCCTTGTATAGAAGACCCTGAAAAAATATTCTTTAATAAAAACCACGCCTTGTATAGAAGACCCTGAAAAAATATTCTTTAAAAAATCCACGCCTTGTATAGAAGACCCTGAAAAAATATTCTTTAATAAATCCACGCCTTGTATAGAGCCCTGAAAAAATATTCTTTAAAAAATCCACGCCTTGTATAGAGCCCTGAAAAAATATTCTTTAAAAAATCCACGCCTTGTATAGAGCCTTAAAGAAATAATCTTTAAAAAAATCCACGCCTTGTATAGAGCCCTGAAAAAATATTCTTTAAAAAATCCACGCCTTGTATAGAGCCCTGAAAAAATATTCTTTAAAAAATCCACGCCTTGTATAGAGCCCTGAAAAAATATTCTTTAAAAAATCCACGCCTTGTATAGAGCCCTGAAAAAATATTCTTTAAAAAATCCACGCCTTGTATAGAGCCCTGAAAAAATATTCTTTAAAAAATCCACGCCTTGTATAGAGCCCTGAAAAAATATTCTTTAAAAAATCCACGCCTTGTATAGAGCCCTGAAAAAATATTCTTTAAAAAATCCACGCCTTGTATAGAGCCCTGAAAAAATATTCTTTAAAAAATCCACGCCTTGTATAGAGCCCTGAAAAAATATTCTTTAAAAAATCCACGCCTTGTATAGAGCCCTGAAAAAATATTCTTTAAAAAATCCACGCCTTGTATAGAGCCCTGAAAAAATATTCTTTAAAAAATCCACGCCAAAATGTAGGCAGTGAAAAACTATTTTTAAAAATTTCACGCTTCTAAGTAGGTCATAATTTTTTTTAAATCCCCCCCAGATTGTAGACCCTAAAACTATCCACACCTATATTTAGGCCTTAAAATTATTATTCTCCCGGAACAAATATTTTTTTAATCCATCCTTGAAATTAATCAACATATTTTTCTGTTTTTTTCCTTTCATCTTTCCAGCCCGAAGTAACGATAACCAGCGATACGTCATCCCATCTGCCGGCACCCAGTCATGGCGGTAAATCACGCACACCCAGCATATCAGGTATTTTACCAAATCTTTTACTCTCCGTTCTGCCGCCTGTCATACCGCGAGCCAGTTGGCCATCAGCTGAGTACATGCAAATTCCGATGCGTAAATCGGTAACATTTGCATCACAACCCCACCTCGAAGATCGTACCATAGCTGGGTCGTGTCTACCGGCACAGGATCTGCTCAATTTACGATTGGCCCATCAACATGCCACCGAAACGAAGACAGGTATCATAAATCGTATACGAGGCATATTCACCCGGACTCAATCGAGTAATAAGGGCTCAATCGCCAGTTTGGCAGATCAAAAAGGTATTAAGGCGGCCCTTATGACCCATGTGGGTCTATTCTCAAGACTTATACCCTCATCCCAGACTGCATCATGTAATGCCATTTATGCCGAACGTAAGAAGTCCGATATAGATTTAGTGCACACCGGAGGTGAGAACCTTAAACCCCTTAAACGTAAGTCCATAGCCAAAAGTGGCACTCACTTAGATGTAACTTTTGCTGATCCCACATTTTTACCCATACCCACCATATCAGCTGAAACTGTAGATATTGCACATCATCATCCCACCACTAGCTCCACCCACACCACATCCACACAACTGTTCTCTGTACCCATTATAGAAGTAGAAAATAAGTATATTTTTGAACCGGAAACTAAAGTTAACTTTCAATTGCCCGCCAATCGTAGACCCTCAGTGGCCCAATTGCAACCGACACTGAGAGAACGTATTAAGGGTTCACCGCGTTTTCCACATCGTGTCCTACCGATCACGAGTAGTTTAGGAGCACTCGAAGAAACCGGTGATAGCCAACGACCCAAAGGTGGTAGTCGCATGAATTTAAAACGTGCCTCCATTGTGGGTAATTGGAAATCGATGGAGGTACCTTCCAGTACCCGACTCTCGTTGACCGATTCTAAAGATGATGTCTGGAAACAGGACTGTATAACCGTTGAGATAAATCAAAAAGATAAAGAAGATATTATAACTGTGGAAATTACGCATGTCAGTGATGATGATTGAGGGAAAGTTTTCACACAAATTTGTTAGAAGATGGGAAGGTTTTATTGTTCATAGAAGAGCTTCAAACCTTCTTCGCAAAAGAGCTGGAAATCTTCTTCAGCGAATATCTCGATGTCTTCTTAACAGAAGAACGAGAAACCTTCCTAATCTTCTTCTTCTAGCCTCAGAGAAGTGGCATATATTATATCTATAGAATAGCGGGATTAATACTATACATATAAGATCTTGCGGACTTCTATTCTATGAAGACCTGTAGATCTTCTATTTACAGAATACCTAGAGATTTTCTATCCATAGAGGTCCTGGAGGTAGTGCTTCTATACGTAGAAGAGCTACGTGCAGAGCGGTAGGTATTCTATCGCCATAGGATAATCATAAAATATGTATTCTACCCTAAAAATTACTGAAGGTCTGGAAGGTCTTCTTCATAGATGACATGGAAGTTTCCTTCATAGATGATTGGAGGTCTCCTTTATAGAAGACCTAGAGGTTTTCTTTATAGAAAAGTTGGTGGTTTTCTCCATAGAATTGAGGTCTTCCTCTGGGAGGAGGTCTTCATCTGGGCCTGTAGGTTGTTTTCATAGAAGACCTACAGGACTTCTTAATAGAAGAGCTAGAGGTCTTCCTAATAGAAGACCTGGAGTTCTTCTTAATAAAGACCAGGGGGATTTATGCATAGAAGTGGTGGAGGTTTTCTTCATAGAATACCTGGAGGTCTTCTTCTTAGAAGGCCTAGAGCTTTTCTTCATACCTGAAGGTCTTCCTCTTAAAGACCAGGAGCAGGACCTATAGGTATTCTTCATAGAAAATCTGGATGTCTTCTTCTTATAGAGGTTTCTACGACTTACAGAAGTACCTGAAGTTTTTTTCATAGAAGGCCTAGAGACATTATTCGTGTAAGATCTTTAGGTCTTCATAAAAGAAGTGTTGGAGATCTTCTTCTTTGAAGGAGAGACCTAGAGGTCTTCTTCATAGAAGAAGAGGCTTAAAGGTCTTCTTCATACTCAAGATCTTCTTCATGTAAGACCTAGATGTCTTCTTCATAGAAGAAGTGTTGGAGACCCGGAGGTTTCATGGAAGAACTGGAGGTCTTCTTTTAGAAGACCTGGACTTCGTATTTATAGAAGTCTTGGAAGTCTTTGTCATAGAAGTCATGGAGGTCTTCTTCTTCATTGGTCGTTGCAGTCTTTCTTCATAGTAGACCTGGAGGTCTTCTAAATAGAAGACCTACAGGTAGTCCAAATAGAAGACCTACAGGTATTCTAAAAAAAATACCTAGAGGTCTTCATCAGTGAGGGTCTTCTTGCAGATTTTCTTCATGGAAGAATTGGAGGTCTTCTTCATAGAAGACCTGGAGTTTTTTTTATAGATGATCTAGAGGTTTTATTAGAATATTTAGACGTTTTCTTTATAGAAGACCTTTAGGTTTTCTTTAAAGAAGACCTGGAGATTTTCTTCATCGAAGACAAGGACGCCTTCTTCATAGCAGACCAGAAGGTATTTTGCATTTTCTTCATAGAAGACTTAGAGGTCCTCTCGATAAGGACGGGAAGGTTTTATCGTAGAAGAATAGAAGATCCACTCAATGAAATCTGGAAGCTTTTCTTCCCGAAGTCTAGAAGGTCATCCTTCTTCCTATAGAAGACATGATGATATTATCATACTAAACTGAAACATATTCTTATAGAAGACTGGGAGATCTTCTTGTAAAGGCTAGAATGTAGTCTTGTGAGGGATGGGAAGTTCTTCTTTTAAGAGAATCGAAGGTCCTCAGTTGGAGGACTGGAATGGACAGATTGATTTTTTTTCTCTTCTTATAGAATGCTGAAAGATCTTCTTATAGGGGACCAGAAAGATGGGTGAATTTGTGAAAGATGGGAATTTCTACTTGTAAAATATTTGAAGGTCCTCTCGAAAAAGACTGGAATTTCATCTAGTGGACAATTTGATTTTTTTAGAGAAACCTGCAAGCTCTTCTCATAGAACACTTATACATGACTGGATAGCGTTTCTCAGGGAAGACAGAAAGGTATGTTCTCATTTTTTTCTGGATATTGGAGGGATTTTCAGTGTTGGACTCCCTAAATCGAATTTTTATCCGTTTTACTGCATCGATTATATTAGATATAGTCCCTCTTTCTTTATTTCTTCTTGATATTATCCAATCCACCGTTCTATCTTCCAGAATTGGATTGGGAACAACAAAAACCGTTAACACAGATATTAATAATACCCTGCGGCACTTAGTGCCCGGGGGTGGACTAATACAGAACAAATCTAAATATGGGTACCAACTAGATCTTTATGACTTACGACTTCATTTCATTCCTAGTAAATGTTTTATAAAGAAATTTTATTTATTATTAAAAAGTATTAAAAAAAACAAAACCAAACTCAAAACTGACCAATACAACTTTTTATATTAAGGCTCTAAGCTAAACATTTTTTTAGAAATAGAGACTAAGCTCAAACCAACATTTCATTTACAAAATAAGTAGCCAATAGAAAAGTAATTTTAATTAGTCATAAGTAGTGAAATTAGAACCTTAAGTAACAACAAAAACAAAAAACAACAAATCTAAGAAGCGATACAAGTCAATCATAAAAGTAGTGAAAACAAAAAAAAATCCTCTTCGTAATGGCATTACAACAACAAAACAAACATGTAATGTAATTAGCAAATCCCCAAATATGGATCCAAGACCTTTTTTCCCTTCGTCCCCCAGAAATTCAACAACAAGAAAATCTGAAATAAAGAGCAATTATGAAAAAAAAACAAAAGACAAACCCAACAGTGTTATAAGCAATACCAATATGTGAATGTAAAGAAAAAAATTACAACAAAAACAATTTTAATTAGGAAAACTAAACAAAAATAATTATATATAAAAAAATGAATTAAAAAAGTAACTAATTTTAAGTTTTAAATGTGTCCCAGAGAGATGTCATTCATGTACCTTTTTCCGAAACAGAAAATATAAAAAAAGAAAAAATTGACTAGACAAAATTGAACTGCTTAAATATTTAAAGATTTTTTTTTTGAATCTGTTGTGATTCATTTTCTTCCCCATTTTTATTTTCTAATTTTATTTTTATACCATTTTTTCGTTTACTTCCATTTTACTTTGCTTTCTCCCATATCTCCCAGAAATCTCAAGCATAAACTTTTAAACACAACATAAAAAACGACAACCAAACTTTCAGCTTCCATAAAACTGTCAAACAGTGTTTTAATGTTTTTTTTTTTTTTTATTATTTGAAAACGATATTGGTGTCAAATCAGCAAATTATGTCCACAACCCATTCCCCAGAAGATTATCTATCACATAATACACATGCGACAAGTAAGAGAAGTAATAAATTTACCCTACTCTGCTTTTCGTCCAACTGGATGGGATGAGGATGTTACATACATGATTAATTGGAAACACATCATTCGCCATAATATGGAGGGTATATTGGGCCAACTTTGATTCCCTATGAATATTTTGATAAACAATCGGAATTTTCCCTAAGAGAGTTTTATTTTTAAAACCAGTAAGGAAAGTTAAAAAAAAATGGATGGGGCTGACTATATGATACCCTTCACCACTTTGGGTAAATAGAAGAGATGACCATATGTAGAATATAATTTCGATAAAAAAAATCAGTAAGGAAAGTAGTAAAGTCGGACTGGGCCGACAATATGATACCATTCGCCACCTTGGGTATATTGTACCTATGTATCCTTACAATTGTATGTCAATGTTCCCTCGAAGGAACATACCCATGTCTTTCTACTAAATTTAATTTCATTCGGACAGATTTAGAGCCGTCTGCGAACCATGGGATAAATTTAAGGAAAATGATTTATAGCAATCTTTATACAAACTATTCGGTACGCCGCACTGTTAAAAATTTAATTTCAATCAGACAACCGTTCGAAATACATATGGAAGCTATGGCTGCATCTGCACCAATTTCAACAAACCGCAATAACGTCATTCAAGTCTTAATCGGACAAACATTAGAAGTTTGGTGCAGCATTTATGTAAAAGTATATATGGGAGAAATATCTAAATCTGATCGGATCTTCACGAAACTTGGCACACATCATTCAATGCTTAATTCAGTACGATATGCAGAATTTCGTACAAATCGAAGGATATATAGTGAGTTTAGTGCACTATTTACATTAAATCGAACGACAATATATATGGGAGCTATATCTAAATCTGAACCAATTTTCACGAAACTTACCACACATCATTTTAGACACAATTCAGCTCGCTATACCAAATTTCGTGCAAATCGAAAGATATTTAGGAACTTTGGTGCACAATTTACATTAAATCGACGGAAATATATAAGGGTGCTATATCCAAATCTGAACAGATTTCCAAGAACTTTTACACACATCATTCTAGACTCACTTCAGTACGCTGTACCAAATTTTATGTAATTCGAAGGATATATAGGGTCTTTGATGTTCCATTTACATTAAATCGGACGGAAATGTATATGGGAGCTATATCTAAATCTGAACCGATTTTCACGAAACTTAGCACACATCATTCTAGGCTTTATTCAGTACACTGTACCAAATTTCGAGCACATCGAAATACATTTATTGACTTTGGTGCACCATTTACATTAAATCGGACGGAAATATATAAGGGTGCTATGTCCAAATCTGAACAGATTTCCAAGAACTTTTACACACATCATTCTAGACTCACTTCAGTACACTGTACCAAATTTCGTGCAAATCGAAAGATATATAGGGACTTTGGTACACCATTTACCTAAAATCGGGCGAAACTATATATGGGAGCTATATCTAAATCTGAACCGATTTTCACGAAACTTAGCACACATCATTCTAGACCTTATTTAGTACGCTGTGCCAAATTTCGTGTCATTCGAAGGATATGTAGGGACTTTGATGCTCCATTGACATAAAATCTGACGGAAATATATATGAGAGCTATATCTAAATCAGAACAGATTTTTACGAAACT